AAACGAAGGGCACTCTCTTATAAAATAAAGATGGAGAAAGATCCTCCAATTTCTTTCATTTGTTTAGCATCTCTTGCTATTTATTTCATTTATAGAATCGTTTAGAGAATCTAAAGTTCTAATTATAGCAACCCTATCAATTTGGTCATCAATTAGGAAACATTTTTTCCATCCTTCATTGTTTTTTGAAAAAATTTCTTGACTACACCAGAGCTACTGTTCTCGAAAGCAATGGAGGCACCTAATTCAAGTAAATTCGGTTTAAAAAAATCCACTTTTATTATCAAACAATATGTAACCCTAGCACCCCTCTGAAAAGGACTTGTGCATAATTGAGGTTTTGAACTCAGTACTGCCCTAACTCTATTCGACAATTCCTTAAAGCATGTTTCTCACCTAATTTCAATTTAATAATAAAAAACGGATAAATTATTCCCTAAAAACAACTAGGATAATTGGGTGATGTTAACCTGCCTACAGCTATCAAATTATTATATTCGGTGTATAATAGTATGGAATATACAAATCAATCAGAGTCTGGGTTTTAAAAAATTAATCTACATGTCGAGCCTATCAATTTCAAAGGACGAAACTTATGAAAATATACGACTGCGACATTCATTTTATCATGACATTGATCTTTCTATTTAAGAAAAATTAGTGGGGTTAAGTATGACTCCTTTGCTTTATTAAGATAAGGCTTATTATCACAAAATGTCCCTAAGGTTTACGAAACTATCAGATTGCATCCTTAATGTTTTTTTGTGTCATTGGTGGTCCTCAAGGTTAGTATGTGTGATCACAAATGGTCCCTACCGTTAGGTTCTGTCAAAAACTCCGTTAGTTTGCTAATGTGGCAAATATATATATCACAAAACATCCCTGAGGTTTACACACCTATCACAAATGGTCCCTGCAATTTATTTTTAATTTTTTAAATTTAAAATTCATAAAATTTTGATTTTCTTTTTCTAAATCTTATGAATTTTAAAATATATATTGTATTTTAAATACACAAGACATTATATTATTTTAGATGTGGGCTCCACATATAAGCCACATCAACAAACTAATGGAGTTTTTAAAAAATAATTTAAAATTCATAAAATTTAAAAATGAAAAAAACCAAGGGTTTAGGGTTTATAAATGGTCCTCAAGGTTAAAATCCTTATATAAATGGTTTTTTCATTTTTAAATTTTATGAATTTTAAATTATTTTTAAAAAACTTCATTAGTTTGTTGGTGTGGCATATATGTGGAGCTCACATCTTCAAAAATATAGTGTCATATGTATTTAAAATATAATATATAAAAAGAAAACCAAAATTTTATGAATTTTAAATTAAAAAATTAAAAAATTTCGCAGGGACCATTTGTGATAGATGTGTAAACCTCAGGGATGTTTTGTGATATGTATGTATGCCACATCAGCAAACTAACGGAGTTTTTGACGGAACCTAACGGCAGGGACCATTTGTGATCACACATACTAACCTTGAGGACCACGAGTGACACAAAAAAACATTAAGGATGCAATCTGATAGTTTCATAAACCTTAGGGACCTTTTGTGATAATAAGCCTTAAGATAATCCATGTAACGTCATGTCCATCTCATTGGCTTGGATCTTCAACCGTCTTTGAAGGCTACCCCAATTGGTGTTGTTAACTTACAAGGACAGTCTAAAATTCCACTTGTGAGTTGTGAGAAGAGGGAACTCATGCTCTTCCTCTCTCGATTCGAACCCGATGTGTGCCCTAGTCACCTTAAGCTCTAGATATACATTATCAAGCTTTATGTATTATATTGAAAGGGATTGAACTCTCGATGTATTGACATAAGCATTAGAGAGTGAAGGGAAGAAAAGTTTATTAAGCATACCAAACAAAGAGTTTGATAAGATTTTACCATTAAAGGTTGAACTTAAATATTTTTCATAAATTAATTACGACGACATAGATAAGGAGGCGCATGTGAGTATTGTTCTTAATTTATACCTAGTAAATGGCCACCAACCTACAAACCCATTACATGCAATGCAAGTTTAGGTAAATCCTTTAAATTGAGTGCTAGTTTATTTTAAATATTTAAAATTTAAAAAAAAAAATTGAGTGCAACTTTGCATTTTCGAAGTCAAAGCAAGTGTACAATGAATACCGACTATGCAGTCAAACATGAAGTACGAAAAAAAAATGGCAATCTCGTAATTAAACGACAATTGAAGGGCAATCAATAACAAACTAGATTCTTGACTTCAGCTTTGTCTCTCCTTACCACATTCCTATATAAATCCCAAAATACGAAACCTCTCTTCAGTGTGTGCCCCAAAATATCAGTCACACATGGCTTGCTCCTCCTCCTCCTCCTCCCAACTACCATCGCCATCCACCACCGTCGATGAAACCAGCCCCGCGTCAATCTCCACCGTACATCCGGACATAATCCAGACCCATATCCTCACCCGCCTCGACGGCCCCACGCTCGCCTCCGCCGCCTCCACCTCCTCACAACTCCACGCCCTCGCCTCTCACCAACCCCTCTGGGCCAACATCTGCCACTCCACGTGGCCCTCCACTTCCACGCCACGAGTCCGCCAAGTCATCTCCACTTTCCCCGACGGCGCCTTCTCCTTCTTTTCCGACTCCTTCCCGCTCCTCACCAACCTGGACACCGCCGCAACAACTCTCGCGCTGAATCACGATCAGCACGGCCCGTGTGAATTAATCTCGGCCGTCGATATCTACCACCGCGACAAGCTCATTCTGAGCAAGGTCGTCGAGACGGAGACCGTGACCGGGTGGTTCCAGTGCTCGCCGTTCCGGATTGACCTGCTGGACCCCAAGGACGTGGTCCCCACCCAAATAAAGTACCCGGCGGGCCAGGAATCCGACACGTGTCGCGACCTCGGGGACGATCTGACCCTCAGCTGGATTCTGATCGACCCGATCGGACGGCGGGCGATGAACCTCTCGAGCCACAGGGCGGTGTCGGTGCAGCGGCACTGGCTGAGCGGGGAGGTGCACGCGCGGTTCGCGTCGATTCTTCCCGGGGAGAAGGGGTCGGCGTCGGAGCACGTGCAGTGCGGGATATTGGTCACGTGCGGGGGGTCAGAGGGAGGGGAGCTACAGGTGAGGGAGGTGAGCTTGCAGGTGGAGGACATGGATGGAATGCATTTGAACGGGAGGAAGGGTTTGGTAATTTTGCAGAGGGCGTTGGAGGGCAGAAAGGGAAGAAAGAAGAGCAGGAGAGAAGAGGAGGGAAGAAAGAGATACGAAGAGTATTTAGCGAGGAAGAAGGAAAGGAAAGAGAAGAAGCTGAGGACAGAAGGGACATTAGATACTTTGTGTGTGGCTTTTGGGGTATTGGGGTTTTTCGTCTTTTGGTTATTTATTCTATGCAGATAAAACTCAAATTCTTCTTCTTCTTTTTTTCCTGTTATTTTCTTTCAGCGGTTTAGAAGAAGCATCTTGATAGGAAAAAATATATATATATATATAGAAACAAAAAAAGTGTTCATAGCTTTATTTCTCATAAAGAATATAGATGTAAAAGGGATGAGGCTGACACTCACACGACACGGTTTATGTTGTATCATGTATCAAAATGAATCATGTTGTATTTGTGTCTTATTGTGTTTAAGCAAGATATCAAGTATTCAAATTCGATCAATCGAATTATTATTGTTAGATGTAGACACATTGTGGATCATGTTTGAGAAATATTTTGTGTCACGGAAAATAGTAATTTTAAAAGAAATTTAACTAATACACAAAATGAATTATATTGTATTGTGTCTAAGCAAGATATCATGTATTCAAATTCGATAAATTAATTTATTGTTGGATGTAGACTCATCGTGGATCATGTTAGAAAAATATTCGTGTCACCAAATATAGCAACTTTAAGAGCAACTTCACTAATGCCCAAAATGATTATGTTGTATTATGTCCAAGCAAGATATCGTGTACTCAAATTTGATGAATCGTATTATTGTTAGATGTAGACTTATCATATGGATCATGTCAGAAAAATATCTCGTGTCACGAAAACATAGTAACATGAAAAGAAATTTCACTAAACTTCACTAATACACAAAATGAATTGTGTTGTATTATGTCCAAGCAAGGTATCGTTTACTCAAATTTGATGAATCGTACTATTGTTAGATATAGGCCTATCATGTGGTTCATGTTAGAAAAATATATTGTGTCACGAAAAAATAGTAACATGAAAAGAAATTTAACTAATACACAAACTACCAAATCAGGTTTTTTTTTTTTCTCCTTCTCTATCAATATTCCCAAAAAAGAAAGAAAGAAGAAAATGAGACGTAGATAAACAGTATATCTCACTTGTGAAGCAAAGCATATGAAGACATCAAAAAAGGCAAAACGACTCGCTCCACTAACTAATTAGTAACTACTACCTACTTGGGCATACAATTAAATTAAATTGAAATATGTTGTGTCGAGTCCTAGAAAGTGCCATGACATGAGAGCGTGACTGCTTTCTGACGCGACAAGAAGCCACCAAGAAAACCGGTTTTGGGCGGTGGTTGTTAATTCTCGGGGAAATGATTTAAGGAGGAGGAGAAGTGGTGATAAGTCTCTCTCAACTCTCTCATGTCTCATGTGTGTTTACGGTTTGTCTTTTGGGTTTTTTTTTTTAATTTTAATTTTATAATGGAGGCCTTTTTTTAATTATTTTTTTTTAAAAGCAAAGCTGTTTTTGTGGGTCTGAATTTGGGTTATTGTTTAGATGGGTCTCCCTAGCAGTTAACAGCCCAAGACGTAGGAAGAAAGTTTTATTTTAGGCATGCTGCTCTGCTTCTATTGTTTGTGGCACAAGTATGTGTAATCAGAGACAGAGAGAAACTTCCATGTAACGGGTTTATATCCTTCTCTCAGTCTCTCTCATCACATGACAACGACCCACTTCTTGTATGTGCAATGATATGGCCATTTAGTCATGGAAAATGAAATATTTTCTGCACTCTACATCAAAGCAATGAAATTTCAGTGTATGTATCCAACATAAGGAATTACAAGCATCAAAAAAGGAAGGCAAAAGAATGAAGAACATGAATAGGGTAAACAAATATTTGAAATGCATGCTTACATAAACAAAAGCAACACATACATGTTCACATATTAGCTAAGCCCATCCATCATTCTTTGTCCTTACCAAAATGTGTAGTGATTTTGGTATGTTTGCCAAAGTCCCATCAATTCATCCAATGCAAAATTCCATATGTTCTTGCTTTGTAATACCCTGCTATGCTTCTAAATTGTTTTTGAGAATAGGATAATACAGCAAACTCAGATGAAGTTGATTTTCCTTTCTTCAGGCATTTCATTCTTCCTGCAAGTGCCTCCCACTAAGTTAAATGTTTATATAAGTAGATCAGCTGTCCTTTATCGGATCCGGAGGTCCTCTTGCAATTGGCATTCCACCACCATAATTGGCTTTCGGCTTTGCATAGTCCACAAAGATCACACGTCCATTCAGTGCCTGCCGGTATTTTAAATCTGTTATTTTGGGATACCTAAGATCAAAAGAATCAAATGGATAAAGGAATACAGAAGACAAGGATTTACCTTTCCATTCATCTCCTCTAGGGCTTTGTGGGCTTCATCTTCTGAAGCAAAGGTCACAAACCCAAATCCTTTTGATCTGTCAGAAACTCTGTCTGTTACAATTTGAGCTGCCACAGAAAAAAAAGGGTTTAAGCACCAAATGACAGAATTTAATCAGTTCAGAGATAGTTGCCTTAGTCTTCTTGCATGTGAAATATCCCACAAGTCACCTTCAATCACTTGACCATACTGAGAGAATGCTTCAGATAACCCCTTATCATTGGTGTAAAATGACAGTCCTACAAAATGGAGAGAAAAAGAAATCTACAAAGTGAAGGAAGAAACAATAATAACCCCTATTGAAAAAGTTAAGAAGATGGCAATAAGAACAACTATGAACTCATGTCATAACATGAAAATTTGGATGAGGGATCATTCTTTTTGCTAGCTTGAGCAAAACTAAAGCAAAAAAAATCTTTTCTCAAACAAGCTTTACAGGTCAAATCATACAAGAACAAATTATCTCATGCAGAGAGTACAGAGTCAGAGAAGTAAGAAGTCATTCCCATAACTTCTCATAGAATAACACCATGATTGCTACTTAAAATTCACCATTCTGATGAGAAATGTTTGAATGTTTGAAGTACATAACGAACTGTTAAACGATATGTTTTCTTATAAACCGTGAGATTAGCTTGAAACAAAGTATGTGTATGTTTTTTTTAAGTGTGCGCTCACTCTGTTTCATTATATAATTTTTTTTTTCTTGTGGGTAAATAACACTGAATAAGCATATCTCTATCTCTAACAGGCATTACTTCAAACACTTTGTCAGCCTAGTTCAATTAATCATATATCACCACCAACGTTAGCCAAAAGATCATCTTTTTTCTTCTTCTATTCCGTGTTACGTGGAACAGAAAAGCCAAGTGGATTAATTTCAATTTTTAGGTATTATATCTAATAAAGAAGAACAGATGATCAGAAATGGTAACAAAGCAGAGAGAGAGAGAGAGAGTATATTACCGCCAACGAAAAGCTTAGTAGTTAATCCCCGGCAAGAGATTAGAAGAGCGGGAGGAATAAGGGAGGAATATGATAAACTAGGGCTTGACCTCACCAGTCTTCTAAGCATCGCCATTACTATGATACTCTGGTTCTGGTACCACTCTTGTCTTACCAGAGAGAGAGAGAGAGAGAGAAGGAAGAAGAGGAAGGAGGCGGGGAGGCGGCTGGTGCTTTCTGAAACTAACTAATTTTAACGTTTACAGGGCTATTGGGTGGGCTGGATCCAAGCGACAGAAGAACCTGAAACCAAAAGAAGAAAGCTCTATAATCTTATAAACGACGTCGTTTTTGTGTTCTCGATTTCGAGAGGCTGATTTGTAAAGAAAGCTTTTACAACATTCGTTCACATTGCAATTGTAGAGAGAGATAACGACATTCGTGCACATTGCACATCGATATACCATCATCAGACACCATCCGCATGAGGGCACCATGGTTACATTCTACCTTGTGTCTCACAAGAAACACTTGCACAGTGCTGTTGCAGTGCAGCACCCTCTCACATCCGGGGGTGGTATCACATATCAGCCCACTGTGGGATAGGGTGCTTCAATCCGGCAGGACTACCGATGAACTCGTGTCTCACAGTAAGATAGAAGGGATGGCCAGTCTAAGGGAATTAAAAAGGATATGGAAGAAAAAGGTTATTCATGTATACTCTGTGTACCTGCTAAGCAGCAATAAAATAAATAAAATAAATCCATAATCACGACGTTTTCACATAAGTTTGAATACAACTAATACAACCAAACCTCCTAAAGAACCAAAATTACTCCTCCAAATTAAACATTGGAAATAAAAAGAGCAAAAAAAAAAAAAAAAAAAACTCAACTAAGTGTTACAAACATTAAATTCCAGGGGGAGATACATATGGATTAACAAACAGGCCAAGTGAGTGCCACCCTTGCAACCTCCCAAGTCAGTAATTCCTCACGAAAGTTGACAAGCTCAGAGCGGAGACAAGTTTTGGCGGATGTTACCCCTAAGCTGTTGTGCTGCCATTATTCTTGAGGACCAAAGTAGAATAACTATATACAGAACTTATTCTACATGATTTTGTACTCATATCAAATTTGCAGAGGAGGACCCCACTGGTTCCACTAAGTTATCATGTATGGTGCACTTTCAGCAATGCTTGGTATAACATGTCGATGAATTGGTCGTCCTAACAGAATAACAACGCACGAGTCAGCCAATAATTGAATAACTTTACATTGAGGATGCTTATAACGTCGGAGGCCAAATGTACAATACACGTCAAACATATTATCACTTCAAGATGCATCTATAGTTGACACACCGACTTCTTTTCTTGCTAGAAATTGATAACATATATACACGATAATACCTGAACAAGAGACAAAAGATAAAAATACCTGAACCAGCATCAGCAGTGCTTCGCGAACTTTTTCTCTGTTAATAAGAGGCCCGTCACTGGGAACCAGAGGAGCAGAATTAGGAGTTAAAGATGGTGGGGGAGTTGGTGGTGGAAAGGGTTGAAGCATTGGAGTACCATAAGGGCGTTGCAGATTCAGGGGAGGATGAAGTGCAGCGGCAGTTGGCACAGCTGAAGCAATAGGTGGTATAATTAATGAAGATGAGGAAGCAGGGAGAGGGAAGAAAGAAGAGGGCTTTATAAGATTAGTGACTCGATTGTTGCTGGTGGTTAGATCAGAGGGGACATGCTGGGGGGTTGGCGTAGATGGGACTGAAAGGGAAAGGGGTGGTGGTTGTGGAGTTGGTGCAGGAGGTGAAACAGCACTGGGTGCATAGGAAGACGCTGGAACAGTTCCAGCAGAATGATAGGACTGTCTTGAATTTGTTGGGTTTGTAGTATTACCTCCAATATTCATAGCTGCCTGCAGTAAAATTAGGGGAAAATATGTTCAGCCCTCATTGGAAACAAGCTACAGCGATTAAAGAGATACTGAGTAAGGACAACACACAACACAAAACTACATCAGTCAAGTTTCTTAGAATACTTCTATCCCAGAAAAAAAGAAGAAGAAAGGGTTTTTATAGAAACATTTTAGCCAAAACACTATGATCTGTAAAAACTAAAGCATCAGAAATAAGCTTTTCTTCATCTCCTGCACCTCCTTGTATCTCTAATACTTATAATTTCAATGTCCATTCTCTAACTTAATCTTACACCCACACTCTGTCTATTATTGGTATTGCTTCTGAATCATATTTTCATTATCCAGGCCTAAGAAAGAGAAAAACAAAATGTCCTCAAGCTACAAAGAAGTTCAAAGCATTGCTAAATGTTTGGTATTTTCTAGGAACAATGGATATCTCAGAGGATAAGGATTGGAATTAAGTTCAGTCAACTGCAGAACCAATAGATTTTAGTGAGGGGCAAATAGCTCAGACTTAGGGTGAACTTCATCCGGACATGCCCAGTACCAAACAATGAGTTCTTTAGGCAATGCCTATGAACTAGAGAATTTGGCATTCTTGAAATAAATTTAAAAGCATTTCAACCATAGGATTAAATACATATTTACAGATGATGCATAACGAAAATGAACCACAGTTCTCAACTTCAAAAGTTCTAGATGACACAAAAATAAGCAGATTGCCACCACATTCTCTGGGAAAGCCACCATGTATAAAATCATACCAGGTAGTTCACAAAGGAAGAATCTTCAGGGGCATCAGTGGCAGTAGAGGCATTCAAAGATGGCTCCAGTGGCCCCTCCATGACCAACATGGATGGGACTGCTTCAAGTTCCTCAAACTCACTACAATGTAACATGCAGAATGAAAATTAGATGTAACCCAACTAAGGATGCATCTCCTGATATGGCAGATAAGACAAAGCTTGAAACATAGAAATTTAGAAACTACATGACCTTGATAAGAAAAGAGAAACCATACCAAAGAAGTTATCTAACAGAGAGATATTACCCCTCCTATCACATTTCCATTTTAGGGAAATATATTACAAAAGTTATTTAACATCACACCAATTCATGCATAAGCTAAAATTATACGGCTAAAATTGAAGAAAAAAATTCTGAATCTAACACGGAAAGTAAATAGAAAATGTATAATGCAATTGGAACTATGACCATTCCAGTTTCAATACTTATACAAGGGGGAAATTGGGGGAATAACCTTTTGCTTGAAGCTACTTTGGACTTTGGAGGAACCTTTGAGTATGCATTAAGGATCCTGCGAAAAAGAAAAAAACATTAGAACACAAATTTGTAAATGTGGCTTATTTACATCACCATAGCTGCATGCAGACACTGATCTACATATCCAGTAATTTCAAATCACCATTTTACTGCTTTAGATCCCATGCTATGCTATGTGTTTGTATGCATATCATATGCAGGCATCTGGCACACATGTATATTCTATATGTATAATTCCTAAAGTTGCTAATGTCAAACTCCTGTAACTGCAAATCTCATGCGCAAGTATTAACCAAAAAAATAAATAAATCCTTTATGTGGTATTACCATCCTGCAAATCAACCATGTGCAATTGGATGTTTTTAACTCATAGTAAACTAACAACAAACAGTTTACAAACAAATTGGGAAGTATAAAAAGGATAAGAAAGATATTGCACCTAGTAAAGAGATTTGCAACTTCCTCACATTCACGGGGGTTATAAAACCAAATTCCATTAACTTCTTGGGCTGCATTCCTATACAACAAATATGGAACTTGAACTTCATACTCAAAATCTCCCAAGAGATTCTCCACTAGGTTATCTGTACAATATAAAACCACTTATTAATGTAAAATTAATGCATAGTTGTATGTAAATGCACGCACAACATATTTTACAAACATAACTAGAGGAGATATTGTAAGAAGATAGCATGTACACAATTTCCTAATAAGAATACGCTCATAAACGAAAGAATATGACCTTATGAAAAGAAAAAACACTCATTTAAATAAATAAAAACTATCTAGAAATTTAACCACTTAGTTCCATTTTCTTTTCTGGGATAAGAAACAAAGTTTAGATCCTAGTTCATAGGTTAGACAAGAAGCTAAAAGTAGATTTCTTGTGACAGGCAACCAGTTACCTCTGAACTTTCACTCTCAAATCATTGTTTCTCAGACTGATTTTATTTTCTGTGGAACTTAAAAAACAAGCTCCATCTTTTATCAACTTTGTGACACTTTTGACTTTACATTGATCTATTTCTCAAATTTGCATGAACATGAATATCATGTCACTTTGAAGAGACCAAACATCCCAAGCTTCTCATCAACTGATATGAATCAATCTTGAGAATTATCCACAGATCAGTGACGTGCTTGAACCATAAGTTTCGCTTATTTATATATTTTTGAGGAAGCACAATAAACCATTTATTTTTATTTCTTATCTTCGCTTAAAAGACTGTCCAAAGAAACATTTAATCACAGCAGAGTAAACGGTAATGATGATTGATACAAACAGTAGCAAACCAGCAACTCAGATAAAGATTTTACCATGGTGGTAAAATGCACTACAATACTGTGATACCAAATGGAAATCAATAAAGAGCATACCTAAAATATAAACTACAGTGAACAGTAAGAATCGGTACCTGTATTACGCCGATTCATTACAATGAACTGGAACCGTGGTTGAGTATTCCTTAACAATACAAAAGTATCAATATTAGGTAAGTCAACTATCATTATGAATAAACCAAAAACTCGTTCCTTGATAATACAACAGGTTTAAGACTAGGTGAGCCAATTATCAATAAATAAACAAAACCCATAGAAAAATTCACTCAAAATTTTGAAGAAACAAAATGCAAGAAGCTTACAAGCCAAACAGATACAAAGCAATCACCCAAAAAAGAATTATTTACCTTTTAACAACAAAGAGAGACCCTTCAACATCCTTGCGACTCTGCAAAAACCCAAACATATTTTGAAAACTATTAGATATTAATGTAACCAGTAGAAAAAGTCAACTATTAATTTGGTTTAATTCTGAAAACCCTTGCATCTTCTTATGTTTCACTTAATTTTCTCGGCAACCAAACGGAGAAGTGAAATACGATTGAGAAACGAACCCATTGATTGCTCTCGATGTTGAATTCGTAGAAGGTTACATGCGCGGCCGTAATCAGAATCTCTTCGATGAAGGGATCGATTCTCTGCAGCACCGTGAGATTGAGCATTTTGGTGCTTTGCTGATCGAGATTTGGCATCAATTTCCCCGTCTGAGACATTTTTGATTGGCGGAGAACAACCTTAAACCCTAGAGGTGATTTCCCTTTGAATTTTCCGTTTTAT